TCTCTCTCTCTCTCTCTCTCTCTCTCTCTCTCTCTCTCTCTCTCTCTCTCTCTCTCTCTCTCTCTTGTTGGTGCTAAACCTGCTCCCTCCTCTTCGTTTGTGTACATCTAGACTATGGAGCATGCTCCGATTTTCAGGGTCTACAAAGGGGTCCTACAGGGATATAGGTGATCCTAACTGCAGAAGGCCAAGAGAATCAGTGGGGTTACAGTCCACAGCACTTCTGGAGATAGACAATTATCGATGTGTCTCCCTTTTCTACAGTGTCTTTCTGGCCCCCCTCCTGACTATCCAAAAGGCCAAGAGAATCAGAGGACCCTTGAAAGAACTGATCCTAACTGCAGAACCTAATGCCGGCGCAGAGTTTCGGTTGGCACAGTTTTCTTCACTTATTTATTGATACACAAGGTACACACATGGGTTGAATCATGGAGCATGCACATATACTTTCGTAGTAATTCTATTTCACTGTTTGGAACCGACTTCCACTAAACAATGTTTAGAAATGATTATTTGTGGCCTGTATTACCAAGGGCAAAGCCAGGACTGGTGAAGTGCCTGATCCAGTGATCGCGATTCACATGTGATCACTTCTTTTAAGATCGTTGACCGTTTTTTTATGCGTGCTTGATTGGTACTGTCCCAGCAGATGTGGAAGGGCACAAGCACATGCTTGGCCGTTGAGGGAAAAACCCATGCCACCTGTGATCACTCCAAAAGGGAGGTGATCACGTGCAAAGGTGGGGTTGGCACAGCAGGACATGTTTAAGCAGAGTGATGGCAATTTTACGGAGGTGGAGGAGGCGGATGTGGAGGGGAAGGGGGGAGTAGTGGAAGGTACGCAAAGGAGTGCAAGGCAGGGAAAGGGGAGATGATGGCAATTCGGAGGAGAAAGAGGAGGGCAGTGAGGAGGTTGAAGAGAAGTGGGAGAGTGTGTTGGAGGACAATCGCGGAGCATTAAAAAACAGGAAAGAGTGGGGGTACACTTTGGGGAAGGCAGCGGATGTTGATGATTGGTGGAAAGATGAAGAGGAGGGCGATGAGGGAGGTCATGAGGAGGATGACAAGGAGTAGGAGGACTAAGACGGGAAGTCGATGCAAGTGATAAAATTCTGGTAAGGGAAATAGGGAGGGGGAGAGAAGGAAAGCGGCCAGCAAGAGAGAGAGAGAGAGAGAGAGAGAGAGAGAGAGAGAGAGAGAGAGAGAGAGAGAGGAATGAACAGAAAGACCAAATGCAGATGCCAGGTATTTTTCATGCACCTATTCTCGGCTCCGGGAAGGTAATGAGAGAGGGTATGCGAATGTTTTGTTTTGGCATCCTAGAGGAGGGTTAGAAAGAGGGAGGTATAGAGAGAGCGTGGAATGACTGCTTTCTTTTGAAGCTACAACTTATTGGGAAGGGGAGAGAGAGAGAGAGAGAGAGAGAGAGAGAGAGAGAGAGAGAGAGAGAGAGAGAGAGAGAGAGAGAGAGAGAGAGAGAGATGCTTTTCTTTTTCGCACTTAATCTCTGCACATAAGCTTTCTCTGTTCTTTGAGTATCCTTCTGTTTTCGGTTTTCGTTTGTTTTCTTGCTGGCGAAGCTGACTGCTTCATCTTGTTTTTGAAAAGCTCAGTTGACGTGGGCATGTGGAACATGGTGTGGCTGTGATAGACTCTTGATCATGCCTAGTGGGTTTGCACAACTTTGCAGTGTGGATGGCCGAGGACAAAATGTAAATGTCTCCAACACAAACCCACCACTACTGCAGGACCAACAATCCGTCGGTGATGAGCACTACCCTAGCAGTGGCGATGGCTCAGTGGCGATTCACTTGCCCGACGCTGGAGGTACAAAGCAAATTAGCAGATGACCCCTCTCTTCACATGCTGAAGAGCCAAAACATGAGCCGGACTATTCCCAGCCACCACAGATCCCTCCTAGAACACCAGAAGCAGTGCTTCTGGGGTCACGCTGGCCCCACCGCTTTCAACCATGCACTCTGAAAAATGCAGCCCGTGTGGATGGCATCAATGCTGGAGGTCAAACCACAATGTCACATGATGCCAGGTAAAAACACAGACCTGTGATGTGCAGCCAGAGCCTGGCACTCTTACGAGACACAAGGAGCATTACCCAGTTGTGAAAATTTCCTTACTTATTTATTGGCACATTTCCCAGCTATTTTTTCACGAGACAGCGTGTGAACCACGGCATCGGTCAGCCTTCCAGAGAAATGAGGCTGGTGTCACCAAACTCCGTGATTTTCTGGTTTAGGAGGCCTTATATGGCAAAAATCTGCATCGGGAAAAAGAGGCCCGTACATACTGGCAGTTCAAAAAAAGCACATTTCACCAAGTTCGGAAGTGGTAGGTTTTGACTATCCCCTTTTACTTGCACAAGTAATGCTTGCCTACCACAAGATAGGCAATGTGCAGAACCAAGGAAGAAAGACATGCAAACAGTCTAGCAGAAGACTGAAAATGAATTGACCTAAGTGATCAGACTCGTGACGCAGCACATAGTCATCATCATGTCGAAGTACCTGGACGCAAGGTTAGTTCACCAACGTCTTCCTCCGTATGTTCCGTCTACATTCGAAACATTGCGTCGTTGGTCGGTAAGGGGCAACGGGCACTTCATGCTGTTGACATTCTTTTAGTGTCCAACCCACACAACCCGTGAGCGAATGGCCATGTCAGTCGATGCCCTCTAGTCGCGTTGCCATTCGCACTGTTCCCATATGCGTTCTGGTGGGTCCGACAATTCGAACCCACGACCTCATACACAACGCGCAGTTTGCACCGGTGCTCTGACCACTCAGCCTCAGAGCATTTGGCCCTTTCTGGGTGTTTTCGGTTGAAGTGGAATGTTTCACGGTGCAGTGGTTTTGTCTCAATCTCCGCTTATCCGTGTCACTAATTGAGTTTAATGAGCGAAACATGTATGGATTGTAAAATTTCCGCCTTTGTGAGTAGTCTGTTGAAGGGTACATGTGTGATGAGCAGGTCTTTTCTCCTTCATCCAATCATTGTGTAAATGAAAGTTGCGCATGGATCTTTTCTCGTCTCGGATTAGCAAAGGATGTGATTGGGAGTGTGCATGCTTGACTCCCGCATGTGTTATTGAGCATTCGAGCATGATCTTCCTTCTTTGTCTCATACTGGAATAGGAGATATTTATATTCCCAACAATTTCATGGGGGCGAGTTCGTTCGGGCCTTGCCGTGCGTGGAAGCATCTGATGCTCGCATGGCTGTATTTCCATAAAACAAACAGAGGACGCGTGTATGTGAATGCAATGTGCTAGAAGCCACAGTGCGGATCTGCCAAACGAATCTTTTCTCAATGGAATATTGGTGTTTTGGTTTTGTGGGATCCGAGTTTCATCCTCCGAAAAGAAGACGTGGATAGAGTGAAGCACATTTGGGAGAAAAAGGCACAGCTCACTCTCCCTCTGTGCACATACACACACACACACACATGCAGACAGTGGTTGCGCCCTGTTTCGCAGCCGCAGTGTCTGCAACATGTGTTGGGCTGACCGCCCTCACAGTGCAACAGTCGCCGCCAGCCCAAATGGAGTGTGGCCCTACCAATCTGAATTTTTTTTTTTTTTTTTTAATGTTCCAATCTATTCGTGGGGAGCAACACGTGCTGCGTACCGTTCCCAGCGTCCCATTAGGGTACAAGATTGAACAAATGATGTACCGGAGCCATTACCTGGCTTCGGCTTCGATATTTAGATACTAAGACACTCAGTTATATTTGAACAACTTATGAAAACACAGTCGAGAGATTCTAATGAGCTCAATAGAAGAAAAAACATACCAACCTCCAAATCACACCCCTACTGCCACAGCAGAAAAGGAGAGAGGAAGCCAGCCTCTTCCCCCATAGGAGTGGAAAAGCCCCTTACTACTATCTGCCCTGCCAAAGATGGAGACATCAACTACCCCAGCCAATTTCATTTGGGCTGGCGCCAGATGTTGCATCGAGAGGGCAGAAGAAAATTCGAGGGCCTACAGGCCCTTGACAGTTTCTTTTTGGGGGAAATTGCAGACATACCGGTTTGGAGACCCTCCCCTGTAATCTGTGAAGGGCTTCAAACTTTTTCAACGCAACATCTGCTGCTAGCCCAAACGGAGTGTGGCCCTACCAATTTCATTTGGGCGGGCGGCAAATGTTGCATTGAGAGTGCAAAAGAAATTTTGCAGGGCAGCAGCCCCTCGACAGTTTTCTTTTTACCTGTAGACCCTCCCTCATAACCTGTGAAGGATCTATGGGGGCTTCAACTATTGCTGGGCTAGCACGCCCTTCAATGTGTCCGGTCTGGGCCGTGCAAACGGCCTAAGATTGCGTGCCGATCAGAATCTTTTCTGATTGACCTGTGACCTGGGCCCTTCACGGAAACTGTCAGCTCGTGATCCCAGCCATTCGCTGTAGATGAAGTTGTCTGAATAGAGACAGAACGAATGAAGACACAAAATATAGCATAAAACCATTGGGCTTTACCTATCGAAGTACATAGTCCTATGCTTCCGTGCAGCGTCACCACCCTTCTGCCCAGTGGTACTCAGCTAGTGCAGCGCTCCTGCACTCAAGCCGTATATATACGTCCTAACCTATGAAAACGATCTACGAAGTTCTATGCGAAGTAACTTCTCAGCTATTGCGCATGCCCTTTACTGTTGCGCAGCGGCATGAAAAACTTGCCGGTTTTTTTTTTTTTAATATCACAGATTTCTCCGGAAAAGGACTGAAAAAAAAAATGATCCTAGGCTACGAATGCCTGGGTGTGTATACAACCCGTTTCCAAATGCTGGATCCTGTGCATCATCTGAT